TTTATTATGTTCTTTACTAAGCTTTATTTTGAAAACTACTTGGCTTATAAGAAAATTGATTATTGTCAATTCATATTTCATCAGTGAATTTGTCTATACCTAAAAAATAAAGTCTTAGAATTTTATAACAAAAAGTCCACTGTCTTATGGAAAAAAGAAATAGTGATTAACAGCTCTTTGGAAATCACCATAGAAACTGCTTCCAAGTCTGCATTGTATGCATCTCTCTGCCATGTGCAAGTCTTTTACTGGGTTTTATTTAATTACCTATTTTGATTTATCTTGGGAACTAAGATAATACTGACTCTAATATTCTATTTCCACTGTAATTAAAGATTCCATTAGTGAATCATTAAATACAAGAAAAAGGGATTTCTTCTCAGCAAAAACTATGTTGGCCTTCAGGTTGAAATTTCATAAAAACATTTTTTTTAGAACTGCCTTCTATATGCACAATAGGTTCACTGGATTTATTTCTCATTTTAGTTTCTTTGTATCTGGAACATTTCTTAGCTTTTCCTTCTATTTCTTCATCTTGACATTTTTTTTTTTCAAATGCAGGCTCATTGTTCTGTGTAACATTCCTCAGTTTGGGTTTATCCTATGTATCCCCCTGATGATAAACAGGCCACCCTAACTTGTCAGGCATAGCACAAATGTGATGTGGTATGTTTCTCAGTCCATCTTATTAGGGGCCATTTGGCAATAGATTTCTCTGATCTTAGAGACTGGCTCATTAATTGATCAATATAGTGACTTTGAGATTTCTCCACTGTAAAGATAATTTTTTCTTTGTAATTAATAAATATCTTTTGAGAACCAATGATGCAAACCTATAACCCCAGCTACTTGGGAGATTGAGACAGGAGGATTGCAAGTTCCAGCCAGCCTGGGCAACTCAGACTTTTTCCCCAAATCTAAAAGGTCTGAGGATGTAGCTCAGTGGCTAGTATCCCCTGCCAAAAAATTGCTTGTGGAAAGAAATCTTGAATGTATGTAAATAATTTGTTCATCACCAAACACTGCACACATTTTTTAATATCCCTTTATGTCTTCTCAGCTTCACTGTCCCCTTAGTATTTACGGGATGGCACACTGGCATACTAATAAAAGGTAGTATTTTTATGAATCCATTCTTTTAGTTTTTCATTCATTTATAATGGGGTAGACAGGGATCTTTTCACTTAATATTTTATAATTCATACTATTCATACTTATTTGGGGAGTCAAATTGCAGAAGACAACTTCAAGTATTTCAGAATTTCTAATAAATAAATGATTTTCCTTATGGAGTGCTGTGACAGGTTGTATCCCTGGATAGATTTAGTATTAATGTATGAAGGATTTCACTTGTTCATCTCCATGTTAGAAAAATTGGACAGAGGCACCTGCTGGCATATCAGCTAAGGAAACTGCTGGTGATCAGGAGGAAGGAAATCTCATAAAATATCCCATAAAATACAGGGTCTCCCACTCCAGGACATTCTAATACAGCTTAAAGAATGACGTCTGTGGGAATAAGCTTTCTTAACAATAATGTCATTACAGGGACTATTGTGGTTTGGTGATACAGGAACCATGTATAAAGAAGCATGTCGAGCAGGTGTGGAGTAAGAATGTCTGCCTAACACAGTTTGCATGACCAGGATATCTGGCAAGAACAACTTAGAGGGGGCAAAGTTTATTCTGGCTCATGGTTTCAGAGGTTCAGTCCATGGACAGACTCCATAGCTCGGGGCCCGAGATAATGCAGAAAATCATGGTAGAAAGATGTGGTGGAAGGAAGTAGCTCAGGACATTTCAATTGCATGTTCAATTGCAACCTCAAGATATAACAATTATCATAAGGAAACTATCTCTTAATGGGAGGTGTATTGGTTTTTAAGTCACTGTGTTCAACACTGAGTGTTTATTTAAAATCATACCTTCTAATTCTAGTACTCATCAAATCACTTCATTCTTCCATTCTTAAGCTTTATAATTGGCCAAATTTTGTATCAGAAGTTCTTGTCAGATTTTTATATACAACTATATAGTATGTTATAAATATAGTACAAATATTTGTTCTGTTATAATGGTGAACTTATACTTAGAAGTTAACAAATGTTTTCATACATAAACATGACCATAGTCGTACAATATGTTTCTATGCATGTACACACTGTGCAATGATTGAGTCAGGGTGATTTGTGTGTTCATCACTTCAAATATTTATCCTTACTTTGTGGTGAATAGCTCAAAATACTAACTATTCAAAGTATGCAAATAAATTTGTAAAATTCATATGAGTTAATTAGCAATGAAATAAGACTTTTAAAAAAGAAAAGAAATGTGACATTAAGTGCACTTCACAAATTTTCTCATCTGGACACACTAAGGCTGGAAGGACCATCTTTTTAAGGATATTTTCTTCACTCACCACATATTGACATTGGGAAAAACAATGAGTCTTAATTCCTTATGCAGCCTACATATACGATGTCCAATTCATGCTCATTAGTAGGTAAAATTATAGTATCATGACAGTAGGCTTCAAATTATGAGTGCTCATAATAATATTTAGAAAAATGGACTTTGCCAGATTCAAGATCCTGTCTGTCACTTAGTGCTTGTGGACCAGTGACCAGTACATCAAACCTCTTTGAGTTTCAGTCTCCTCTTGGATGAAATACTGAAAATATTAGAAAATATTTGTAATAACAGTGAAATATGTTTCATATAATTAGGTTTCTTATATTTCAGTTAAGGAGTGATTATGAAATTTAAGCCTTTTGTGACCTAATTAAATATAACAAAAGTAACAAAGCATCTTGCATTTTCAGAATAAGAAATCCTATCATTTAAAAAGTGTGCACACTATTTCACTAATTATCTTCATTTTGTTGGCTAGATATGTGTCTAAGTTTTCAGACTAAGGAAAGTAGTATATACAGTTTTCAGGCTTATATGAGCATACTTTTTCTTTGACCCCTTGAACATGCTCATAGGCAGGAGCACACTTTACTGTGCCACCACAAACTAGGAGACTGTGTCCTATTTATCTGTTTATTACATAGAATTAGGGAATGTCTTTAGGTGGAAAGGATGTGTGCCCGTCATAAAATGCTGGCCATGTTAACAACATTTAAGAAAAGTTAGAAGGACCCACACTCAACAGAAACCCTATTTTGATGCTTAAGAAGAAGTACAATAATCTTTACTTTGAACAAGAAATGAGAGAATCCCTCTACTACCAAACTATGAGATGGCAAACACAGCTCATCCACCTTTATGAAATTTATAAAACAGGACATCTCAGATCACCTCCAAATGCTTTTAGGTCCTCTCTGGTGACTGATAGGTCACCTGAAAGCTGATTGACTTGATTCTAAGCTGACTATACTTTCTGGCTACAGAACATATCTACAAAATAATATTAAGGGGCTCGGGATGTGGGAAGAGATTACTTGGAAGAGAAAAAAAAACTATTATGATTTATGCTACATAATGTCCATCTTTTATTTTATTCCTTCTGCCCAATCTAAATTAACCTCTCTTTTGTAAGAGAAAAGACAAAACAGAGATTCACTTTGATCTTCAATATCCAAAGACGAAATCAGTCAAAACATACTTACAAGAAATAATATAACACAGAGCCTGTTTTTAGCTATCTTGCTTTAATCTAAATTGCTAGGACATCCTGTCCACTTTTAATAATGCTACAAGTTTTGATGAATGTACATAGTTTATTTTTGCTGGAATTAAAATAATGCACTTTTAACAATATTTGTCAGATGGATCACTAAACTTAATAATCAAACTGTGTGGGGCACAGTGGGTATAGCTTGATGTAAAGGAGGATCATAGTAGGCCTGCAGTCAAGGGAACCCATCCTTTAGAGATGGTGGTCAAACAAGGCACTGCACAGGGCTACAGTGTGGGGCTGTCACACTCCTCCTTGTTCTCTGTGTTCATGTAAATTATGTATGTTTTCTCTCTATGTGGCATCATATATAATTTCAACCAATCTGTCTTTCAGCCCACCAAGACTTTCTTGTACTATGTGTAATGTAATATATGTATGTTCTTTCTATTAGATTTTTAGCTTCAAAAATTTTTTACTAAATATACAGTTTGGTTGTTTTTCAAAATGTTTTATCATTGATAATCTTCTTATCATTACTCATATTTTAATTTATTTTTTATTTCTTTGAACATTCTATATATGGCTTTATAGTTCTGATAATTACCATGTTTTTTGTTCTTGGTGATTCTGTAGACTGCCTCCTTCATGATGGTTTACCTTTGGTGTTTGTTGCTGTTGGATCAATCATCTCTATTTTATTTTAAATTATCTGTGGGCGCTAGGGGTGAAGCTACCTTAAATGACTCAAACCATGTACCTTATACCCTCCACAGACCCAGTCATGGGATGTGATGGCTGTGTCTGTGGCTGATGTCGGTGGCTTTCTTTATTGACAGCTCAGCTTCATTTATAGGCTTCAGATTTTTCTATTGTTTTATGTTCCTCTATTTAATTCTTTTTTCCTTTTTTACATTCTGAAATTGATTTTTGGTTCTTCCTTTTAATTTTTTACATTCTTTTAAGTCAAGAATTTAGGTGAAGTCTATGAACGTGCCCAATGTGTGACTCTCAGAAATCTGGCCTGCCACATTGCTGCCATATTGTCCATTCTTAGGATAATGCACCACCTCAAATAGACAACAGGAAATGGAACATATGGATAAAATGCCAGGTTATTATTTTGAAACAAAAAATTTAATGTTATTTTCCCGATTGGGATTTTTTAAATGAAGAACAGGAAAACAGTCTTTATAAAGAAACTAAATCCTCATTAAATTGATGAATATACTTTTGTAATGGGTTTCATCTCCTTTCTTATCTACCCAAACCAGAACACCATTTCCTCAAGGCCTATGATAACAGAAATATAGCAGGAAAATGTCTAAATATATTTTCTTTTTTCATTTCTACCATTTACATCACAAATTTCCTTGGATTAGTCACCACCACTCTAGGTTTCAATTTTTCTCCACTAAAAAAAAAAAAAAAAAACGGTGCCACTTTTGCAGATACAGTGACTAATTGGTGCAATTCACAAGTCCATAAGAAAATTGATATCACATATTACAACAGGAATTCCTGGAACTTCAAATTGCATGTATATGGAAAATTTTATTACATTAATTTTTATAAAAACAAAGTACTTAGAATAAAACACAAAACTTTCATTACAATAATTCTCATTTTCTGCTTGACGTTGTCAAGATGTTTAAATGGGAAGTCAGGTAGGCATCACCTCAGAATTGAGAATGGCTACAACAGAGGTCAACACTGCTCTCCCCATGTCTGGAGTTATCAGAAACTTGGGAAATTATTTTCTTCTATAAAATCTTGAACTAAGACAATGTTTTTCTCAATTAAAAAAATTCAATAAAACACACATCCTGGTTGATGTTCACCGTGTACACACCTCTACAGGTTTTGAACCTGCACTTTATTTCCTGTGGCTGCTTCAAAAATTTCAAATTTTTATTTGATTGGAACATAATGCTTGACCTGAACAACAATGATCTCTTTATATTCTGACATACATTCCAACTTAGCCTAGAAATTCCTGTCTCATTTCCAATGCTAAGTAGAACTAGATTTTCAGGATCCATTCAGTAGTCATTAAATTAGCATTTTGAGGCTCTTTTGTGTCAATTTATTTAAGAGCCTCTTAAGCAAGCAGAATCATTGAAAAACATGGGTTAAATTCTTTTTTAATATAATTACTGTGCATTCTCATAAATATGCAATAATAATTTCACTGAAAGCTATCCTGAATGTTTTACCTGTATGAATTGTAGATTTCTTTACATACTGAAAAAGAAATTCTGAAGTCTGAGTTAAGAGAAGCTTTGCTAATATGCCATATTTTTCCCAATGAATCCAATGAATCCGGGTAATCTCATTGTAGTGATTGGATATGAAAGCCATAATTACCTTGAAAACTAAACAAACAAATAAATAAATAAATAAAGTTAAAATGTTAAAAATAATTTAATTTACAACTAAACATTTAGCCTCAAATTATTTGCATCTATATATGCATGTGCTCTCTTTCTCTCTCTCTCCGTGTGTGTATATAGATACACACACACACACATATATATACACACACATATGTGTTTGTATATATGTGTATGTGTACACACTCAGATATAGACATATGTGTGTTTACATACACAGTTTAAGACACACACACACACACACACACACATATATATATAATTATAATTTATATAATTTAGGGTTCTTATATATGTTTTTTAAAAATCTTGATAACTTTTAAAATACTGGTAATATACCACTTATAGTATATTCCTCATCTTGACATATAAAAACTATGGTTATACTCACAAAAATACAGCATGAAGCAGTAGGATTGTGAATCATATAATTTTGCTGCTTATAAAAATATACATAGGCCTTTAGCATAATTACATTAATTGATGAAATTAAAATTCAGCAATCAATGGATTTGAATGAGTGTATGTAGTCTTTCTCAATTTTCTCATTAGTGATATAGTTATCAATGTGTTTATGTCTGATCATCTGAACAACAAATAGCCAATAACTAGTAGTTGAGAAGAGAGTTTATTAGCTAATAATATACTAGTGAGCAGAATATCACTGACAAACAGTAATCTCTAGTAAATATTATTATTTTGTTTCCCAGAGTTTCTTCATTATAAAAGGCTAAGATGTATTAGATCTTGCAAGATATTGAAAGTGATTCTCTGAGTGGTCAAAACAAGAGATTGCTGCATTTAGTGTGTTTTTTTTTTTTATGTGAAGTCAATACTACTGTAATTTAGTACTTAGAAGTGTCTAAATTAATTATACATATACCACTATAACTGGGAAAAATGATGAGCACTCTAGAATCTCACTTTATCTACCTCAGACGTCTGGAAGGCTCCTATATTCTGTGCATGATTGCCTTTTGAAGATCTTCTCTATGTGGATGTGTTAGTGTTCTGCCACAAGGCTGGGCTCCTCTGAATCCCTTTCACTCCCATTAGTGGTCACCATGCCTGGGAAAGATTTCTCTTTATCACTGCTTGTCTCTACTGACATCCTAATTCTTATAAATCATTGAATTAGTTTGATTTAGTCACTAATCTTAAAGACTTGTAACAGCTTTTCGAGACTATTAAAATTACAACTTAATTATTACTTTCTTTTTAAAAATATTTTTGCAATTTAGGGTTCTTATTTCATGTATTTTTCCTTTAGTGCACATTTCAACAAACAGAAATTATCTGTGTTCAGCATATAACAATAAATATAATCAACCTTTTCACATAATTTCCATAATTCCCCATATTAAAACTTTACATTTTTTCAGTAATTCACAGATTATACAGTATGTTTTGTTAATCATCTCAAAGCACCTAAAGTACACAAGATTATCATTAACTCAATTGCAATCATGAACATAAAATGTAGAGAGTTAGAATGGAATCTAGGACTCAGTAAAATCAAGCTCCAATTGAACCTCTGACTGATGTTACAACCACATACCAGGGGTAATTCCTTACATGCCACACTGATACCCCAGAAGCTGAAGGCCAGTGACATTTCACAATAAATAATTTACATTCTACATTCTGTGTTAACAGTGAAGTCACAGCTATACAAAAGAAATAAAATGTGGCAATTATACAGATGGATTAGCTAAATGTTCTTCCCCTAGCCGCAAAAATCTTTCTTTTACTATAAATCAAATTAGATTGTTTAAAAAATTAGTTTTTTTGTCAGTATAGATTTTCTTGTCTTATTGCTTAACAGTCATTTGTCAAATGACAATAACATAACAGCATTAGGCGGGTGATGTTAGACTCATTTGTTTAGAGTCACTTTGTACTTCTCAATGTCTCTGAATGTCTATCTGTCTCTCTCTCACAAGCACACACACACACACACACACACACAGTGGCACTGCTTTTTTTAACATAAATTCTGAGCATAGAAGATAGCATAACTATGACAAATCATTAGAATGTCACCCACATTGAGTCCTGTCCTTTGCCTTAAAAACCCTTCCCTGATTTGGCTTTACTATGCTTGCCCAACCTCAGCCTTAGATCCCTCACATTTTTCTCAAGAGCTTAGGCCACTTATGTGAAAAAAAATCAATTATATTCAAATTACAAATGCTATTAATCCTTTCTTACCCTTTATTATATCAAGTTGGCTAACATTTTTGTATTCGCTTTCTTTGCTAATTTTGTATACATCATCACATATATAGACAATATGTAGTGCTAATAACTTAAAAAAAAACTGGCGGTATATGTAAGATCAAATAAACACAGACTAATAAAGTAAATTGGCTCATATATTAATTATCATAAAAATTCAACCTGTTTCCAGCCATCTCTGACTAGAAATAATTAAAAGTCAGTGGAGGCTTTAATCAACTTTAATTAAATTAGATTGATTGTAAATAAACCTTCAAGTTGTGTTAAAAAACAATTAGGGTAATTAAAACAGTTTGTAAGTCAATAGATATGAACTTAACATTGAAAATTTGAAGGTTAATATTTATAAATAATAGTTAAATTTTTTTTTAAATTTTGAAATTGTTTGGCCTCTTGAAAATTATTTAATTTAGCTCCTTTTAATGTCCTTTATATTTTGTATTTGAATATAAATGCTAATATCCCATCAACATTTGCATTTCTGGGAGCTTATAGGTCATATCACAAATACTGCTCATCTCTTGTATAAGTATCCTTTTTCCATGAGAATAATTACCTTGGCCTGCTCATGTCCCATATAGTAAATGTAATTGTGCATGAACTTAAATAATTTAAAACATTTTCAGAGGGCAAAGTGAGAAGACAGGGGTCATCACTTGAATGTCATTTCTTCCTGTAATTTATATTCATCTGACCTCAACTTCATTGCGGCTGCTTCATGGCAAAGAAGAAAGATTGCCAGGTCCATCTAGCAATTGCTGATATAATGATCTGCTCACTGCCTCCACAAGCCTATTTTTATTCCTTAACGTTCACTCCCTGATTTTGGTCTATAGTTAGGGTTAACTGATCTTGGAATAGTGCTTTAAAGGAGAAACTGAACTGTGAATCAGTATCATAATTTAGGCTTGACCTGTGCAACTCTGCTTTTTAATAAGATTTAATTTCCATACTTTAAAATTATGCAAAAAAAATAATTTAGAATAGGCACCTTGGTGTATTTTCTTGAAATGGACAGTAAAAAATATAATGTGATTAATTTTTAAGGAAGTTAAATTGTTCAAAATGCACATTACATATTACATTACACACTATGAATTTCTTCTTCTTCTTCTTTTTTTTGGTGCCATGGTATGGCTAATTGGAAAACATTATTATTATTATTATTATTATTATTATTATTATCATTATTATTATTATTTTTACTCCCTGCACTATTGTCTGAATTTGATGTTATTAAGCCATTGCTTCCCAAGGTTTTGATATGAGGAAATCACTTCTTGCATCTATATTTAGTAATAGGCTGTAGCATAAATTCTTTTCATGTCATGATTTCATGTTCTGTTCATTCACACTGTATCTATATTCATGATGTTTCTTCATATGAAATAATTTAATAAGTAGCTTGGTAAATATTTAACAATTGGAGATCCAGAAAAAGAGAAATGGCTTGCTCCTTGCCACAGTTGTCTAAACATTCCCACCATGGCTGACATCAGCCTACCAAAATAGTACCACTGGAAGTGGACTTGGAGAGAGATGCACATAATTCTGTCTTGGGAGTTGATTCTCACTATTTCCAGTACAATGTTGAATTTAAATGACTAAATAATGGATGTTTACTGAAAAGATTATTGGAAAATCTCTTAATTACTTTTATGATTGATGTCATCAATCAAGTGATCCAGTCTTTGTTTTTAACACAAAGCTTGTCTTTCAAATATTAGGTTAGATAATCATATGTAGTATTATATTTCAGAAGAAAAAAGAAAGCTAAACAAATGCACCACACCATTCCAATTAACCTTAGAGTTCTTCATATAAATTTACCTATATGAAGGACTTTTCTTTCAGCTACCTCAAGAGCAATTCCTAAAAATAATATTAAACTAACTTCAATACTGTATTGATAATATATATATATAATACTTGCATATGTGTAATAGTTTTCAACCATCATTTCCATTTGAACTTTTCCCAATCTGTAACTGGTAAATGCAAAAAAAAAAATAAGGTAAAATATGTATATTTTAAAAGGAGAGAAGGCAATGTGCATGATGTTATATTCCTCTTCTAAAATATATACATACAAACCTTCATTTAGTGATAAGTGGAACAAGCAGCAGTTTTGACATCATAATCCAAATGTACAATAAACTATTTTTTCTTCTTGCAAACAACAAGGGGATTGTTACAAAACTCTTTTCTCAGCACTTTGCTGATTTAACATATGCATAATTCCTGAACCACACTCTGATTTTATTGGATTGGATAAATGTACCATTTTTTTATTTGAAAACTTCACACATGTAAATAAAGGTTATTAGCAGTGTCTTTAACTCTGTTATGGATCTGTTTTATATATATGCATATTAATACAGCAAGAAGCTTATCTATCTAGTGAATAAACAGTATCTAAAAACCTTTACTCAAATTAAAGGACTGTTTACATATAATCAAATTTATTGAATAATTTATTTTTATGAAGCTGAAGGCCACTTTCACATACGTCATTTCTAAATGTGGACTGCAAGTTTACAGAATCCTAGATAGTTTCTTTTCGTGTAATCAACATAGTAATATTCAGGGTTCCAGTGTCTGCTTTTCAGAAAGAAGCACTTTTAGAACACAATTTCTTACACAGTGTTCACTCCCTGTAGATTTATTAGGAAGTGGACAATGGATTATTTTTCAAATGAGAATGTAAGAAAAAAATAAATCCATTTTCACTTGGTTATATGCACATTAAACTAGTATTAATCTAGGAAAAATAAGTAGAAATATTATTTTGGTTAAAAAATTCTTCTTATTTTGAGACATTTATCTCAAACTTAAACACATGTGGTTACTTGCAATTGCCCTCTTCACTTTGGCACATCTAAACCACCAGAGAAATGATATATCATTTAGTTCTTAAGGGACACATTTGCATCATAATTTAAAGATGGACTTGAAATTGATAACACTATATTGTTTAAAATATATTTAAAAATTCAGTCTTTTACTCAAAATGTTACAGCAACACAGGTTGAGAAACTGATTCTTGAAAGTCTTTGGAGCATATAGAACTCATGACCTTGGAAAATAAATCTTGCATCAAAGAAAATCTTCATTCTCTCTGAAGTCTAAAATACAATATGTGTTTTGTTTTGTACATTCTAATGGCTCAGAAGAAAAATTTGTATGTCCTTTTGCTGTGCTCCTCTTTGAGATGTGAACTGGAACAGGGCTCAATTGCTATACTATTAATTCTCCATTTCTATGCTTCATCTCTTGTAGCTCAGACTGGAGAAAAACCAGTATGTTCTGATGAGTTTAATACTACGAGGCATTAAAGATGAACCTGAATTTAGTGGAGATTGGTGCTCCAAAATAAACATAACACCATGTATCAAATAAAAAAACAAAAGGTATTCTCCTGTACAAATCAGAAGAGATAATAAAAATCAACGAATAGACAGCAACTTTTTTTAAAATCATACCTACATAAGCATCTCGAAACTATTGCAAACTTGAAGAATTATCTACCTTATTCTTATCTGAAACACTTCACAATTTATTGACTCAACCATGGTTTATGTTGCCTTATATCAAATTTTAGTGGCTATTATTTGAGGGTTTTCATTTGATAAGGATATTCTGAGAATTTGTATATTGCTAAATAAAATATTTTTTTGCTACCAACAGCAATAAAATTCTCTTGAATTCTATCTTATAGCAAGCTAGAAAGCATCGCTGTGAATTAAATTTGTCCCAGGTTTTGATACACAAGGAGTTCCAGGATTTCTCAATGGCACATCATGTTCTACTCCTCTCACTGGCAGTACCATGAAGGTACACGCAGGACATTGCTGGTTCACTGACAACACGGGCCACCACTTACTCATAGAGGTTAGGTGCCTCTGCAGGTATATGAGAGTTGCTATCTATTTCACAAACCACTGAGCATTTCTTTTTATCAAAAAAAAAAAAAAAAAAAGAAAACCTTCAAATGCTCAGAGTCTGTGGTCAGTGCAGTCCCTTGGATAAGTCTAAGGAAGATATGCTTCACCAAGGCGGAAACCTAAGCAGTTAAAAATGGAGAAATATTTACAACCATTTTTCTCCAGCTAGTGGAGTTCTTGCTTTCTGTATGTAGTGGTTTTGCTCTTTTTCTTCAGTACATTTCAAGTAAAGGTTCCAAGGCTATGAGTACAAACTCTCTTGGCCAGTTCCATACATGTCCGCGAGGCGTTTAAAGCGAGGTCCCCAGTCACTTAGGTAGTCATAATTCTGATCAGAGTTTGAGCTGATGGAATCCAAAGAGCTGAGTGACTCAGCGACTGAGCCATTCCCTTCAAAGGCATATGTCTGCAGAGAGTCATAGGGGGGAGCCCCCGGGTCAACATCAGCTTCTTTCAGTCTCTCCCAAATAAATTCCCGAAAAATAACGTTATCTGGGATGCTCTTAAAAGTCGGTCGACTCAAGAACTGAATTTCTGGAGTTACATCCCTACGGGTCTTGGTGTCACGGATGACGTTGAGGTTCCTCAGTGCAGCCATGTCAAAAGCCTCTGTGTCTTCCTCTCCTCCACCCTCGTCATCGTACCTGACGATGTTTTCTCTAATATCTCTCTCTTCGTCAAAAATCAGGGGCTCTTTTTTCCGCCTTCTCATGGTTATAATAAGAAGGATCAGCACTGCAAGAAGGAGACAGCAAAGTGAGAATTTCAGCCAACTGCACGACTGTCCCTCATCAAGGTGACATCTGGCCCATGATGGTGACTCAGATTGCTTGCCTTCACGGGGAAATGAATTGGCCTCTTACTTACCTGGGAATTCACAGTGGCTGATGTGCTAAAATTGCTAAAATGGCTTTAAAATAGAACACTTTCAGACATCAAGAAGCCCTTTTGCACACCTGTTCAGGATTGATGTCTTGCTCCGGCCTCTAAAGTGTTTGATAGAACAAATTGAAGGGCCAGCTCAGGATAAATACAATAATTTCAAAGCCATGCAGCATGAAGGGATTTTTTTTTGAACTTGTTAATTGCTGGAAAGGCACAGTGACATTCATAAATGTTTTGTGTCTAATTTAACAACTGTAATTTCAGGAGGAAATGGATTATAGTATTTGGTCAGGTTCTTTGAAGACATGCCTAGTCCTTGTCTATGAAATTCAGCTATTAAATAAAATCCAGCATGTCAGGCCATATACAAAGATTAAAAGCTTCCCTATAATAAATTGAATTCCACTTTCATGTATGAAATTCTGAAGTTGGACTTACTTTGTGCATTATATCTAGAGACAGAATAGAGGTTGTAGATTTTCAGCATCAGCCAAATACAGGTTTAGGAAATAAATTGTCCCTTCAATGTTGAACAGTTTTGTTCTTGTGTAAAAATTCATATTATATTAAATCATGAAGCATGTGGTTGTGCTGGAAAGCAAAGAAAGTAACTCCACTAGATTTTTTCTTTTACCTTAAATAAACTGAATATGGACCATATTTTTCATGGGCATAAAATAATCATGTGAAGCATTCTCTGGCTACAATTGATTAAATGCTTCCTGAACTAAGAATATGTTAGGTTTCATGCCTCTTTGAATTAACTTAGAATTAGGTAGAAAAACATGTTCTTGAACTTTTGAATTCAAAAATTACTTAAAAAAAGTATTGAATTATATTTAATTATCTAAAAATAAAATATTTTATAACAATTTTTGTTGTATCAGTCTAAGTATTATTTGCAAGGTCTAGAAAGCCCAAAATTTGTACTAAGTAGATAATTATTTGGAGCACATTTTTAAAAGGGGCTTGAAGATCTGGGGGTGTGGCTCAATGGCATAGAACTTGCCTCTCGCATGTGCAAGGCTCTGGGTTCAATTCCCAAAAGTTCTAAATATAAAAACTAATAAAAAGGGGGCTTGGAACATTTGTGCTTAAAGTAATTTATAAAATTTACACTTTAGCATTAAAAATGCATTTGAAAATAAAAATATAAAACCAAGAAAGACATGCATGCAATCCGGTAAAGCTATATACTGTAACCAGGTAGGAAGCACACTTTAGCCCCCACCTCATCCTCTAGCACAGTCTACATGCACAAGTGAAAAAGCTAAGTACTTTCTAAATTTTCAGTAAAATGAACTCATTCACATCAACTAAAATCACGTATTTTCCTAAGTGTTTATTTGCTACTTGCTTTTCCATCAACAGCAATGTGACTGATGAAGTTTTTATTGGAGTTCTTTGGAAATACTTCTAAACAACTACTATTTTTTCAGGTACCACTTTCCTTTCCTTTCTCATTTGACCTTGGACTACTGTTCATAAATTTTTCACTTTGTAGACAGCAGCATACAATTCAGCAATTGAAAAGCATTTCCGAGCTTTTATGGCCCGCCTCTTATGACACATGTGTGTTTGTTCTCTTCTGGGCTCTATTTACCACATTTGAAGCCTCTCAGCCGGCTTCACAAAAGGGTAGATATACAGTTCAAAAGCTACTGCTTGATTATCTTACTGTTCCCAAAAGATGTCTGGCTCTCACCTACATTCCTACTGTGTGCATTGGCCCTTTTTGTCTACTGAGAATTAGCATTTTTACCACTCCAGGGCCCTGTGGTTTTCAAGGTCTGTGCCAGAATCCTGGAGCACAAGGAGCTTTGGCCTTGGTGTCAAGCAGGCCTCCGGTAAAAGCAGAGCTTTGCACGTGTCAGATGGGGCAAGTAACTAAGACTAACTGATCTTAGCTATCTGTCCTGGCTGACTTCAATTTTCATGGGGTGGATGAGGGAGAGAAGAAGACTTTGAAATAATATTAGCAGAGGAAGCAGAGTTCCAGATACTTTCCAAGTGTGCAACACGACAGTTCTCATTCTCATCATCTGGACTGTCAAGAGCATTAATTTAAACGTCCAGGAAAATGGCAGGTGGAAATACTGTGTTTTCATTGAAGGAAAAACAAAGAACAAGCTTAGATAATAGGCAAAGTAGGAGATGTAACAATCCTGTGGGTTGGCATGTGTACTAAAGGCCAGTGGGAGACAGAAAAGCTGGTGAGGTGGGAAAGGAAGGTAGGCATGCAGGACATGCCATTTGTCCTTGCTACAATTCCCTGGGGTATTTTCCCACTTGCTTGTTTTCTTAGACACAGGAAACAACCTGTCTGTAGTCATGTTGGTCTGTAATTCCTATAACACTATAGAAAGTGTTAGTAATTTCATAGATGATAACTGACAGACAAAGCCCCCAACGACCACAACCAGAGCACAAATGGAAATTGTCACTCAAAGAAAAACAGGTCAGTAAGTGTTAACACCAATGCATGAGCAAAATTATTGTTTGAGATTTATATGCCACTTTAGTTTCTGAAACTTTTCACATGGTCCCCTCAGAATAAATGTAATTACAATCGAAAGAAAGTAAGACTCTGTGAGAATTTCTAGTGAGAAACCAGAGTGAAGTAGGGAAGCGAGAGGGGGTGTAAGCAGGAGCAGAGCTGAGTGGAGAGGGGAGGCAGGTGAGAACAAGAACCCTGCTGCACCACCAGACAGCAAAACTGTGGGTGAATGTGGTAGCTAAAGGGTGAAAGAGTGGCTGAGCCTAAGCCCGAGGGAGGGCACAGAGAGGGTAAGAGTCCTGTGACCAGGGACGCTCTTCAAATGTAGATCCACATCCAAATAGGCAGAAATTCCAAAATTCTCTGTCCTTTAATATCGTTACAGTGACTCTTGTCATCATATGTATGCATCGCTTATTCACGTCTTGTGCTATACTAATAAACTTGCCCACTGCTACTCAAGACTGTAGCTGGAGAGAAGCCCAAGATCAGCCATGGGGGCATCAGCCATTGTGCAGGATGCCCCAAAATGTTAATACTTTCAACATTTTCCTTATTCCCCACCTTACTGGAAGCTAAGAACAAATGTGAACTGTTTTGGAAGGTTAGATAATTAAACATGTCAATGACTTTGGAGAATATTAATTTCTAACTACTTGAGCACATACAAAAATAAAATTTAACTTTTGTAAAGAACAAGTATTAACTGCTTTTCAGGGACTATGGAGATAATCCCTGTATTAAGAAGAATATTTTCTGCCTATGTAAGCACAAGATTATGCATGTTAAGAGTTTTATCAGTAATCTTTTTTTTTTTTATGTTATGGACCACATTTCTGAGTGGAGACAGAAGAAAAGATTTAAGTCTAGCTTAAATCTAGCCATGTGAAACATATTGTGTTGGATGTTCATGAATTGATACTTCCATTTAAATGAACTGTATTAAACCATTTATAATAATCACTAAAAATAATGACATAATGTTGCATGCAAAATCAGATGTAATACATCTCCTAGTGACCTTTACAGTTCAATTGGTTAAACAGTAATCAAATAATAGGAATAAACTTTAGAACTGTGATAATTATTTGAAAACAAGAAAATATGATCTTATAGTAAATGAATAAATAAATAAATAAAATACAAACAAGGCACTGTTTTTACAGATATACAGAAGGCTCCTGACATTAAGTTGAATATTTTATGTGCTAAAAAATATATTTTAACCCAGGTGTGGTAATGCATGCCTATAATAACAGCATCTCAAGAGGCTGAGGAAGGAGGATCCCAAGTTCAAAGACAGCCTCAGCAGCATAGCAAGACCTTAAATAACCCTGACTCAAAATATAAAATTAAAAAAAAAAAAGTCTGAGGTTAAGTACCCCTGAGTTCAATCCCTGGTATAAATAAATAAATAAATAAATAAATAAATAAATAAATAAATAGTAATCTTAAAAAATAATACTTTAATTTATATGGCAATATAAAATATACTAGGATGACATGTATAAGAAAGTGGTTATTTCTGTCCAGGATGCTCAGAAAAAGTCTCATGGAAGGAATGGCACTGGAACTATATGTACTTTTTTCCCTTTGGTCTCAGTAACAATCATACTTTCTTATTAGCCATAAAAGAGTTGTCTAAATGATCACTGGTGGACATGGTAGTCACCAATAACATGTGGCTAGTTAGCACTTGAGGTGTGACTGTTCTGATGTGAGATGTTTGCTAGGTATAAAATATACATGCTGGTTGAAGACTTGAGTTTTTTACAAAGTAAAATATTGATAATTTTCATGGATTTATGTTAAGTGACAGTAGTTGGGAGACACTATATTAAAAAAAAAAAAAAAAAAAACCACCAAAGTCTGAATGTTCTCTCTGATAAGTGGATGTTGATCCATAATAGGGAGCAGGGAGGCATGGGACAAATGGAGGAATTTTGATTGGGCAAAAGGGAGGGAGGGTTGGGAGAGTGCATGGGGGTGGGGGATGATGGTGGAATGAGATGGACATCATTACCCTAGGTACATGTATGACTGCACATATGGTGTGATGCTAATAGAAATGTAAAGTTGTGCTGCAATTGTGTACAATGAATCAAAATGCATTCTGCTGTCATACATACCTAATTAAAGTAAATAAATAAATTTTTAAAAATATATATTGACAGCATTTATTTCAACTGTTTCCTTTTACTTTTACTAAAGAACTTATTTGAAAATTTAAAATTAGACATGTTGTTCATATTGATGACTCACAATAAATTTAATTTAGATGGCTAATCTAAACAAAATGATTCAGAAATACTGGAAAAATATTAATTGCTTATGGTCCTAAGGTATTCTCTAA